TCACCGGAACGCCCTGGTTCCAGTAGCCGGACAATCGCGCTACCGGTGCTAGAGCGTATGCATTCGCGAAACCGAGGATCACATCCAACTGCTTGGCACAGTATGCCTCGACCGCGTAATAAGGTCCGAGCGTGTCCGAGCAGTTTGTGTTCTTGAAGTGCAACTCGATGGACGTATTGTTGAGCAGGCCTCGTTTCTTCACGTCCTGAATTGCCAATGTGATGACCGGCTCGACAAGTGCACGGTCCAACTGGAACGGGTTCTCCCAAATCGGGTTCAGTTTGAACGGCATTGCGACCATCATCTGCAGCGGCTTCGACGTCGTCGCCATCGCACCCATCACGGCGAAGTACACCACCAGTAACGAGGCGACAATAATCCTCATGCCGCTATCGTTGAAGTTACTCGACAATCGTTATGCACCGTTCGCAATAAGAAGTCACGCCGAAATTCCTTCTCAATTGCAAAGCGATTTGGTCCAATCCGCTCCGACCTTATCCCCCCTTGTCCAATCCGATCAGGAGCTATGTGACTTTGCGCGGCGGCGTCCGATAATGACACGACCTTCGTCGGCGCAGGCGAATAATTGAACGAAATAGCGTGAAAATATGAATAGAAAAAAATAAAAATAGAAAATAAAAACCGTACAGCGACAGGACAGATTTTGCATTGGAAATGTGACGACAAGTATCCGTTTATGCGAAACTGCTTTTACATCGCCGACCTAAATATTTGGTGCACTATGAGAAAAACAACGGCGCAAAAGAATAGACAACTTGTCAATATGCCGCTGTTGTCCTCCGGCGTTCGTTCGCCCGTCGTCTCTCCGCTGTTCCCATTACAACGCGGCTACAGTCGATTAGGAGGTCGCGGCATGGATGAATGGCTGATCGCAGACCGTCTGGCCCCCTAAACAAGACGTCCAAAAAATACGGTAAACGCACGTATATGATTCATATATACTTCACGCTGTAACAAAATACGCAACGAATTAAAATCGATAATTATTACTGCGGTGACAAATATATCACTTATGTGCTGAATATAAAAAGTCAAACGGAAAATCGATAAGCTGAAATTGATTAGTTGGTGTTCCTCACAGAGTCCTTTTCATCCGACCGGCTTCACTTTCGTTCAGACCAATGAACGACAACGCTGGACGTTGCAACGAAAGGAAACGTGAAACGGGTCAGTCGATCGGACGCATGCCAGCTGTCAAGCGATAGTTGTTCGATGTTAATAATAGAAAATAAGCACAATAAATAAATTTCGATAGGTTTGTCGATTCTGGACTGGTTGTTGACAGAATTAATCGAATCTTGGTGCAATGCTAAGCCACGAACGCGCAAAGTAATGCGGAAGAAACAGTCACTTAATTTCTTTACCGATTAGGGCAACCAGAACCACCCACTTCCACGCTAACCTTTCTTCCTCGTGTTTGACGCAGTCGTGCCTTTAATCATGTATCAAGATCAGTCCGTCAGTTCTGCAATAACACGTCGTTATGCGTGCAAGTGTCCGTCGACGATCACTGACACGAAAGCAATGTGCCGGAGGCAGCTGGTCACGCACCGCGTGTATGGACGACTTGATGGATTGATGGTTTACACATTCCGTCGCCACCGCGGCCTGTCGTCATGCGTTTTCGGAAACTGACCAAGCGGCTGTCACCCGTTCGTTGGCCAATGGCTTCACAGCGGCGTCAAAGAGCCGAAATGCACTGCGATGGAGAGGCTGGACAAGCAGCGTTTCGAATTACAACGTCACGTCGAATACGATCGCTCAGAATCACACTTCGACGAGCAGCTTCGTCTTGTCGGTCATCTTGTCGACCTTTGTCATTCGACAAGCTAGCCATCAGAACATCCGCGGCACAAAATAGATGAATAGTAGGATATAGCTGAATAGGATATAGTTCAATATAGTAGGATATGGTTGAACAGTAGGACATAGCTGAAGTCGATTAGGCTGCACGTGTCTGTCCTGCCTTATAAACACCGTGCTCATGATCGGCTTAATTCAGAAGACGTGATAATACATTTCACATGGTCCATGTGTTATGTGTCGTCCAGGAAACGATCAAGCAGTATCAAATCGGCGAAGTAGCGGCGCTAAATCCAACGGCTTTATTCAGAACTGCCTATAATCAGACGGTTCTTTTCTGAACCATTCGGCCTCCAAATCCAACAGCTCTTCTCAAGGCCACTCGGATCTCGGATTTCATATATACCAAGTTAATATCGAAGTCATATCATGCGTGAAACGTGATTACCTCTAGCATGAAAAATAGCATAAAACAAGGCCTGTTAATACACAACGAAAAAATTGTCGGTCACCCGATTGACCATATTACTTTTCTCATTGTACATTAATAAACCGTATTTTATGCTGTTGCTCAACATGACTAAAAATTCTTTGCCTCTCGCATAAGTTGAACGATAATAATATCGATATAACTGTTCCAAAAGAAACGCATATCCACACACGAAGCCAAGGCATCGCGTTACAAGGTCAGTGGATTCGAGCTCGTCGCCGCCGTACACCACCCGATACATACGGTCGCTACGTTCGCACCCGCCAGAGCTCGACGGATATCGCTTTGCTCGACGAAGGAAACATAAGTAGCATAAGTATAACAGCTCGATGAAGGAAACATAAGTAGCATAAGTATAACAGCTGTTAGGGTGGGCATATTCACCAGCACAAACATCTACAAGCCGCCACCGCACAACTGGCTCACGCCAGCGATGCCGCCAACAAATCACCGCAGTTCACCAGCAGTTCATGTTGGCGCTTTCACTAGTCACAACACTCAATGGGACTACGCTGAAAACTTCAACGCGGGAGAGAGATTAGTGGAATGGGTACCCAGGGAAAGTTACTTGCTCTTCGATCCAAAGCATTGTGCAGCGTCGCGAACGACTCAGACGCTGGAAAATCGAGTTCAACCCGCACCTCCGCTACCTTTCCACGGACAGCAATGGCACGCTGGTTTTGTTCAGATTCATGGCACTGAACGATTTTCCTAGAAGTTAATAGAAACCATCATTAATCTATATTGGGATCGAAATGCCAGCAACAATATCAAAACCGAAACCACTTTGGAAATTCCTGAAAGCTGCCTGACCGGCCTTCGCTTTCAAAATCGAAAGTAAACCGTCTCCATCGATCTTAAAGCCAGGAATTTTGGCAGCTTCTGTAAAATCGTAAATGGTGCAGCCATCAGCCGTATTCCCAGAGGGCATAGGAAGACATGTACGTTCTTCTGGTTGCCTAAGACCGATGCGCGACTGTTCAAATACGAGTGCACTGGCTACTGACGATTTGAGCATTGCTACAAAGCTTTTGGAGTCCTTCGATTCCGGTGACTACGGCGGTGGGTGGGAGACGTTGAAAACCTCCATTTCATGTACGGAACCTCAAGACGTACAAACTGTTGCGCATTCTTGGAGAAGAGAAAGAATATCGGCTTCAAAAGTGACTGCATATGCTGTCGTCACCAAGCTCTTGTAGAAGTTCAAAACCCGGACAGCGAAGAAGACCAAGCCAGAAACCTGCCTAGAACTGACCTACGACTGTCACTTTCCTATCCGCACTATCACAGCTCTCTGCTGCCTACATGAAGGACCAATGCCAGT